GTGGGAAGGACTTCTGTTGGAGAGGTCTGGAGGACTGTCTCCTGTGGGTGGGACTCCACGCTGGAGCAGGGTAAGAGCGTGAGGAGTCCTCCCCCTGAGGAGGAAGGAGCAGCAGAGACAACATGTGATGAACTGACCGCAACCCCCGTTCCCCGTCCCCCTGCGCCACTGGGGGGGAGGAGGTAGAGAAAATTGGGAGTGAAGTTGAGCCCGGGAAGAAGGGAGAGGTTGGGAGTAGGTGTCTTAGGATTTGGTTTTATTTCTCATTATCCTACTCTGATTTGATTGGTAATAAATTAAACTGATTTCCCCAAGTTGAGTCTGTTCTGCCCATGATGGTAATTGGTGAGTGATCTCTTCCTGTCCTTCTCTTGACCCACGAGCCTTTCGTTATATTTTCTCTCCCCTGTCCAGTTGAGGAGGGGAGCAATAGAGCGGCTTTGATGGGCAACTGGCCTCCAGCCAGGGTCAACCCACCACAGATGGTTACTGTGATATACTGTCAGAAAGCTGGCACATGCTATGCTATGCTCACAGGGGGTTTAAACCAAGCAATGTAAGTGGTTCTTCTCTTACCACCTAGAGGCCTGTTTCACAGCAATACCCCTGCCCCTACATGGCTAACCTGTCCTTAAAAAATAAAACAGTGACAGTAAATAAAATGTGGATTAGCTGGTGATCCTGAATACATCTGCAGAATAGGAAACTATACTTGAGTTTGCTCCCTTGTAAGAGCACCAAGCTGGGAGATGTTCAGTTTATGAACTTGTGGGTGGGGAGCTACTGTTATCTCAACTACAAGAAGAAAGCAGTGCAAAGCTTTCATGCTTTTTGAATTGTCAAGCTTCTAAAAATTTGCAGCAGGGGTATGACCTTTTAATACCTGATGTAGTCCTAATGATGTAAAACTGGCTCTTCCCTACTGCCATTTGCAGACCCCTTAAAATTAGCCCCTATGACCAGTCTGAGGACTATCTTTGTCCACCAAGTGATGTGGAAGAGAAAGCTGGATCTATAGATTGTTTCCTGAGTGACAGTTTGGACCAGTTTGTCTTGTGTTACAGTTTGTCTGCTACAGAGCACTGCAGTTACATGTTTAAATTTTAGTGTTTGTAGCAAAGCCTGTTAATTATGATGCTAAGACTGTACCAAAACTGACAGCTGTCCCGGCCATTAAATGTTTCTCTTAGCAATATACCGATCTTCATCCTTAAGAACTAAAAATGCAGACTGGACCAGGTCAGACGACCATGTTCTCTGGGTTCCAGTAGCCAACAACATAAGCTTAAGGGAGGCCAGAAGAAAAGAGCAAACATATAATGCTAATATTCCGCTGAGTGTTTCCCTCATTTTCAGTGCCTTGTAATTTCTTGAGAAGTAGCAGCATCTTTGTACTCTGTAGCTGCCAGTGGATTTTTCTGCCATGAATTTATTTGCCAAGGTGCTTTTAAACCTATGTAAAATCTTGGCATTTATGGCTTCCTGAAGCAAGGAGCTGCACAGCTTAATGCATGATGACAAAGTGTCAAGCTAGTCTACTTGGCACCAGCTAATTCTTGCCATTTAGACCTGGCCAGTATTAAATCTCAGTGATCTAAACAAACTGATTTGAGGATAGTTTTTCATCGTGATTGTGGTGAACTTTGCACAAGCTTTCCAGATATATGTCAGTGATGACAGTGAGGGGTATTCAATTAAAAATACATTGTGTATGGGAGAGGGAATAATGCCTTACAATGTAGTAAAAATGCAGAGTTTGGGATACTGTTTTGAGTATCATGTAACTCATGAAGCATTTGCAGTGATATGGATAAAGTAGTTAGGCCTCAGCCCCCTGCCCTGACTGCGTATTCTGTAATGTTTTAGCACAGTGAGCTGTACATGCAAGGCTAACTTTAAATACATAGTCATATATACTGCTTTAAAAAGCTTTAAGCTTAGCAGCTTCTTCCTTACAACTGGAAGTAAGCCAACCTGCAAATACATCAGTGACTGCAGTGCTGTTTCTGAAAGTTTTCAGCTGGCAGGGTCCAGACCTTGTCCCCCGCTGATGCTCTGCAGTGCAGCAGTGGCCACAGCTGCGAGGGTGCCGAGACCAGGAGCCCTCCCAGCGCAGAGGCAGTTCCCAGACTGCAAGGGGCAGGCCGGGCAGCTGCACTCTAAGCCCTTCATAGCCTCTGCTGAACACGTGGAAGAAGCATTTCTTCGGATGGAAGAAATACGACCAAAAAACTGTTGTACATAATGATCTCTGGATGTTAGAATGGCTCGCAAAGACTGTTGTAGATGCCATGATGGAGAGAGTGAAGGTGTTACCTGGTGCTTGCCCTGGTATTGGGTTACTGTGTGCACAGGCTGGATCAAAGGACCTTTATGTGTGACTTAGGACTGCTTGTTTATGTCAGGAACGAAAATGCCCATATTGCACTGGAGCTGGCACCAGCTTGAATGTCCCAAGTACAAGTCTTTTAGCTGCACACCTCTTCAGTGTGGTCCAGGCTGCCTTTCAGCAGGGCTTCCGCATGACGAGGCTTTCCACATTTTTCTACAGCAGAAGGACCGTTGTGGGCTATTTTGAGTCTTGCATGATACTCAATGCACTGAATGACTCTAATACCATGCCTAGAATTTGTCTGAGATACACCCTTGTCATAAAGCTGTGAATGAGGTTGAGCACAATCATAAACTATTGTAATAATTGTTACCCCCGATGTTAAAAAAAGGAGAAAAAAGGCATGACATTTTTCCCCTAAATTTCTGCAGCAAGTGTTTTTGATAGGTAGCTGTAAAGCATGATCAAAGCCCCTTGTGAGCCTCTCCGGAATAAACTAAAGAGAGAGTGCTTTATAGATTTACACCATAAAGCAAGTGTTTTGAGCTGTGCCTGGCACCTAGGTATCCCATTTTCCCCCATCTGACATCCACTATGCTGGAGACTGCTCTCAGCTGGCAAAACTGCTTAGCAGTTTATCTCCCAGGGACTCTCTAGGCACAATCCCTGGCTTGCAAGCAATTTCTACCACCCCTTAAAACACAGGGAAGATACAAAGGGAGGGGGGGAAGCACCAAACATTTCAGTAACACATCAGTAGGAAGGAATATTAGAATCATGGAAAGATTTAGGTTGGAAGACGTATCAACTGGAGTCCAGCCTCCTACTCAAAGCAGGGCTAACTTCAAAGTTAGGTTGATCAGGACGTTGCCCAGCTGACAGTTGAAAGTCTCCAAGGATGGAGCCAACCGTATCCTGGGCTGCATCCAAAGCAGCGTGGCCAGCAGGTCAAGGGAGGCGATTCTGCCCCTCTACTCTGCTCTGGTGAGACCCCACCTGCAGTACTGCGTCCAGCTCTGGAGCCCTCAGCATAAGAAAGACACGGACCTGTTGGAGCGGGTCCAGAGGAGGGCCACGAAAATGATCAGGGGGATGGAACATCTCTCCTGTGAAGAAAGGCTGTGAGAGTTGGGGTTGTTCAGCCTGGAGAAGAGAAGGCTTCGGGGAGACCTTATTGCAGCCTATCAGTACTTAAAGGGGGCTTATAAAAAAGATGGCGGCAGACTTTTTAGCAGGGTCTGTTGCGGCAGGACAAGGGGGAATGGCTTTAAACTAAACTACTGGGGGGTAGATATAGACCAGATATAAGGAAGAAATTTTTTATGCTGAGGGTGGTGAAACACTGGCACAGGTTGCCCAGAGAGGTGGTGGATGCCCCATCCCTGGAAACCTTCAAGGTCAGGCTGGACGGGGCTCTGAGCAACCTGATCTAGTTGAAGATGTCCCTGCCCACGGCAGGGGGGTTGGACTAGATGACCTTTAGAGGTCCCTTCCAACCCAAACTATTCTATGATGCTATGGATGTTCTGCACTCTCTCTGAATTACCTGTTCCAGCGATTCACTCTTTTCATGGCAAAGAATTTTTTCTTCCTGATGAGTAACTGGAATGTCTGTGCTGAAATTTGTGACTATTGCAGTAAGCTGTGCCCATTTGGCTGGTGATAAAGTATTTCACAGCATCAAGAAAAAAATCTCGGTCTCTGTACTGTTCTGCGTTGGCTCAGAAATAAGCAGTCACATGGATTTAAACTGAACTGAGGGGCCAGAAGTAAAGAAACCCAGTCTGTAATGACTATGTCAGGAGGTGGGAGGGAGATCTTCAGCATCAGGATACAGATACTGACTGTTACTATGGTTAAAGTTGAATAACATAACAACATAACATAACATAAAAGTTGAACAGTGCTTAACTGAAGAGCAACTGTTGTCAGCTTAGCTTGGCATATCCTACACTTGTTTCTTGGTCTAATGAAACTCTTTCTTGTTCAGTATCTGCATCATTGACAGGGAGTGATGGCAAGTGCCATGCTATGCACAAAATCTGCACATGACTTTAAATAGGACAGTGAATCCATGGAGTAACCCAGGGAGACTGAGAAGTTAGTAACGGGGGTAAGAGTAGCAGGAATTTTTGCCAGGAAGCTAAGGCAACTTGATGGGAAAAGAGAAGAAATGCCTGTTTGCAGAAACTCCAGCGCAGGATGTCGGGCAGGCAGAGCAGCGCAGCGCCGGGCAGGGAGGTGCCCACACCCGCGCCCAGGGGCGGTGGGGACTCACGGGGGTCTTGGTGAGAGCCAGCACCCTCCTTGGCTCCCTCCAGGTGCTCCCTGCCCGTCACCTCCACACCAGCAAGGGGAAGAAAACCTCCCTAGCTGCCCGGGAGAGGGCAGTGCTGCCCTGCTTTTGGGATAACCTGAACCTTTCCACGTTTGCTAAGTGACAGAAAAAGCCATTTCAGCCCTGCCTAGCCAAAGGAGTCACAGTGCAATCAGGGAGACTCTGCTCAGGTGATTAGAGACCTGGTTCGGGTAATTAGAGACCATGCTCAGGTGATTAGAGACCCTGCTCAGGTGATTATGCTGCATCCTAACTGTGACAGGAGCCGCTGCTGCGCTGCATGGTTTAAAACATCATCAACTCTAATAGCAAAGCTTCCTTCTTGCTATCTATATAGAGCGCACTGCAGAATTAAGATGTTCAAGCAGAGGTAAGTAGGCTGCATCCGTTTAAAAAAGGGCACAACAAGCAGCAAATAAAATGTCCGGATCAGGAAGGCAGAGAGACCATAGAGCCCAAGTACAGAAATACCAGAATCAAATGCTTGAAGTGGTACAATTTAGAAAAAAGAATTTTTACAATGATTGAGGTGAAAATTAACCATTTAACAATTGTGTGTAACACGCCTGCTAAAGTAATTTGTGTGGTGGCACTTTTGTCTGAGGTAAACTGCATAACTGATGTAGTATTTTCCATCATGCACCAAAGGACAGCCTTTTCGTTAGCAAAATGTATATTCATTTTAGAAAGGCAGAAAATTTTCATTTCATGAAAGCTGTAAGATTGCTTAAGTGGGGCAATTTATTACACAATACAGGTGCTCTGTACAGCTAGTAAGAACTAGCTGCTTTGCATAACAAGAATTCCCATAGGAAACGTAATGAGCATAACAAAGTATGTTGGAAACAAAAGAGTGTACTTAAGGAAGAAGACTAGAAAGTGAAGTTTAAAAAATGAAACAGTAAACTGGTTTTGTCTCACTTTTCCTAAAAATAGTAATTTGAAATCTGAGATAAACGCAGAGAAATAAATTTCTAAAAATCTTTGTACAAATTTAAAAAAGCATACATGGCCTAGGAAGCAATAAAATATAACAAAAGAGACCAAATTTAATCTTTTGACGTACCAATACCATCTGAATGAAGTCTGTTTATGTATTCTTTACATTTCTATATATTTTTGTTACTTCAAAGCAGTAATCACAAAATATTAAGACCTGATCTACCACATTTAGGGCTCAAAAGCCAACGGCACATCACTATTATAATGAAACCTTATTGAGATGCATCGACCTGGGCACCAGCCTAGTGTTGATCTGTTCTGCTATCAGTGCACTTTCCTCAGGGATATTCCTAATCTAAAACTATCTCCCCTCCACATTCCCCAAGCGACCTGGAAGAGCTTATATTAGAGAATTCCTTGTTCCCCCTCACCAAAACCATGTGGGAATGCTTTATTATCAGCTAAAGGAACATGGGATTGATTCTTGGTCTTGTAGCTAAAGAAGATTTCTCGGTTATTATTGATGTTCTTCGTTGTTCCTCAGTAAAGCAGCTCAGTAAGTATTTATAGCTGCTGATATTCCCCAGAAGAATGGTTTGGTACTCTGTGTTCAGACAGCTCACATAAATGCTTTTACTACCTGTTGCCTCTTTTTTTTAGCATCTTTGAGTTTTTACTTGGTTCAGTCTCCCCTTCATGTGGACTCTGTAACCTCTCTCTGAAAGAAATAAACAAGAAAAATAAAACAAAATTGTAGACAGAGTTTTTCAAACACTACAGTTCTCTCTTAAACTACATTAAGTTTGATAAGAGAGGAAAGGCGCTTGCTATATAATTATAACTTCTGCACTCCCTGGTTTCAGCTGCCCCTGTTGAGGCTGCCAAAACAAAGTTGCAGAAAGATAAACGTTCCTTTGTTGGGTCCCTGTTCCCTACGCACGTAACCCTTGTTGGCTGTGGGAAAGGAGTGTGTGAAAAGGGTTGATGCCATCAGGGAAAGGAGCCATCTCCTGAAGTCAGTCCCAGGCTGAGGTCACTCAGGGGATAAATACTTTTCCCCAAAGGCCTGTGGCTCCTGAGAACCAACTGTTTGCTTTGCCTGTCAACAGGATTTTCTCTGCTCAATATATCAAGCCCCAGCGACCAGCTGGCTGGTTTGATCTGCCCGTAGTAATCAGCTGGCATCTTTCAGGTTTGTAGCCATTTCTTCTCCTCTAGTTAGCACCCCAGCATAAGCCAACTGAAACATCTATCAAGAAAATCATTGTTAGAGCTGCTACCCTCATCAGCCAAAGACTGGCGCTTGCCTTTGTTCCTGAAATAAAGGTGGAAGTTGAAAGCCTAAATACCACAGACCATATTTTGGTTGCTACATGTCAGCCTAGTTCCACTGGATTCACTTGTCCCTGCTGATTTATGCTGTCTGTGACTCAGGATTTAAAAAACCTAATTAAAGGAAATTTGGAAACAGTATTTCTCAACCTAAAATCAAAGTTATTTATAAAATACATAACAGCACAGACAAGCAAACTCAGATGATTTTTCTAAATTTAAAAAAGAGTATGGGGGAAAAAAAGGTCAAATACATGTGAGAAGTAAGTATTAAGGAAGAAGCTCAGCCAGTGTAGGTGTTCTGGTTTGGATTTGATTGACATACCTGTTTATGAAGTAGATTTTGTACTGCTTTTTATAAATAGTTTTTCACATGCCCATTTTTTTTAGCCTCTACTGTACCTGCATAAGCCAGAAGTCAGTCCAGGGGGCTCCTGAATATTTTCATGAGAATTATCTTTGTCTTCTGATTCTGGTGACTGAAAGCTCTTTCTTTTTGAGTTTGTTTTTTCCGCTGAATTGCCAAATGCATGTGGATTAAAAAAAAAGAATCACAGATAGTAGAGCTTGTTTGGTTTTGATTAACCTAAAGCAAAAAAATACACTCTAACACTTCATACATACATGCTGTTATTCCAGGGAAATCATTCCACTTTACATTACTCTAGAATATTGTTTTTTTAGTATTGGTTAGTTCTCACAGAGCAGTCGTTGAACTTTCGTAACTGCTGAACACTGAAGTAAGTTTCCATGAGGTGCAACAGTTGAAAGCCCTATCATATATTTTCTTAGCAAGTAATTGAAAACAGCTTTTTACTACTAGCAAACAGAAGAAAAGCCAATTCATAATTTTATGTGATTTGAATCACAACAACCTGATGTTAAAAAGTCACTGTTTTTAGGGCCCTGAGCTAAGCTTCCACATGCGTCCCTGGGGTCACGGTGCCTACCAGGGCAAACAGCTCTGCATGCTTGAGAAACAGCCGACTGGGGAGAGAGACTTCAAAATTGTCCAGGTAAGTGAGCTGCTTTTCCCTTTTGGGCACTCATCTCGCCTTTCAGCATCTTTCAAATGTAACGCCAAGTGTTTCATTCCGATGACAGAAGGACTGCACGGCTCAAAGGATAAGAATTTGCACGCTCCACCCCAAATGTGGATCAGGAAAGAAAACTGCTATTCTGACAATTTGTTCCTAAGTGTCTCTTGAATAATGAATTAGTCTAATTTGTTAAAACTGCAGTAAATTCATATTAATATTTCAAGTTTCCTGATTCAGTAAGATTTTACTTTTGAGCATGTGTGTGGGAAAGCTATTCTTCCATTCTACCAGGAGAATGAAAGCTGGGTGATTCAGCTCTGCTGTCCTCCCAAAGACTTAGTGATTGAGATGACCAGAGTAATTTCTAAAGAACTTGATAAAGACATGAAAAATAATTCTGGTTTGAGCAAGGCAAAGCCTTACCTCAGTGGACACAATGTGATCTATGGCTGAAGGACTGCTCTGGAGTGAGGAATGGTGACACTTATTTGTGGCTGTGCTACTGGCGAGCTGGGTGACCTTGGAAGGTTGCCTTACTTTTCTACATCCCCATTAGAGAAATGGCATTGACAAAAAAGCTCTCCTGAAACTCCATTGTGTTATATTGCAAAATGTGCACTGATACGTGGAATAATGTGAGGTTTTTTAAACAATTCAGGATTGTACGAACCTGTTGGCTTGCTCCTTTTGGAAGGCTGCTTCTTCACAGCCACGGGAACTCGGGCTAGCGTAGCCAAGTCGCTCACAAAGTCCTGCTCTGCTTCCTGCACACAAGGATAAACCAGAAGTCAGTTAACACAACACAGCTTGATTCTGGGTTATGTTATTCTACATGTGGTATGACAAAAAAGGCGTATGTCATTGCAGAAACACAGTATACAATACGGCTAACATCAGGGAAGCATTTCCTACAAGACAGTGGTGAATCTTAGCACTGATTTCAACTAGGACAGCAAAGAGACCCTTACAACCTGTCCGATGTTTTGCCATGGACTGCTTCAGATCTGTGAGTCATTTTACCCTGATTTACCTTTAGCTGATTCTCCAACTCAGTTTCTAGGTGATGCAATCCCAGCAGCTTCTGTTTCAGAGACTCCAGACGAATTTGCTGCTGCAGTTCAAACTGAGCCAAAACCTTCTTTTGCTGCAGCACCATCCTGGTCAAGAGAAATTTAAAAGTACCAATGTTGTTCAGTTCAAGGGAGGAATACAATCCTGGCAAAATGTATTTAGAAGATTTTGTAGAGAGAAAGGCTCATTAACAATATCGGCCTAACCAGCTTCTGCTGGGACAAAAAATTTTGTGGTAGATTTTTAGATAGATTTACTTATTTTAATAACCTTCCTTGGCTCTCCATGGGATACAAGCTCCTTTCGGAGGTAGGAATTGCAGCAGGAGTCTATTGGGTTGTCCATGCCTGGACTTTGGGAGCTGGAGTTCAGCTCTAATGTTGACATCTGCTTTCAAAACCATTGTATGTTTCTAAAGTCAGCTTTACTGTCTGCTTGCCAAAAAGACAAGCTGTTAGAAGATCAGGTGGGAGGATAAGGGATTAAGAATTAGGCAGTTCATTCAGGGCTCTTCAGTACCAGGTTGAGACTGAGCCAGAAACATGGTAATTCAAAACTTGGCAATTGGGAGCACTGACAACTATATTCTTCACTTGTTTCATTTTGCTGGTTAAAGATTAATATTAATACAGTAGAACCTGAATGGCTGCAACTTTGCTGAATCTGTATTTCTTCTGTTCTCTTGCCTGATCTATCTTGAACCAATGCTGTCAGTCACCTGTCATATTCCTCAGGGAAGGAGATAATACAAATTGTTTCTGACATCTACACATAATGAAGTTGCTATTGTAATGGTCAATGCTTACAGAAGGTTAGCTTTCAAAATTTGCTTTTTGAACTCACACTCACAACCTTGTGCCAAGGGCAAAAGGAAATAAAACAATCTATGTTGAGTTTAATAGGAGTTAGACAAATTAAGGGAAATTTTGTCATTAATTTACACAACTGGTATTTGACTGTAAAAGAAATCATAACGACAATAGGAAAACGGGTTTGATTACTAACAGTTATGAGACCAGCTTAGATACTGAATAGTTACATTCTTCAATACCATATTTCTGCTTGCATGAAGGCCAATTTGATTGTACTTTGGTTTAAGACACTAGAATAGATTATGGGAGAAAAAACTGAGACAACAGCTACAAGTGAATTTATATGTCAGAATAAATTATAAACTTGATAATGAATAATTAACAGATCTTTTATGAAGCCCTTTATTACATGAATCCATTTCTACACTAATTCAAAGAAGGATGAAAAACAGAAAGTGGGCAATGATTTCTTTCAATTTAGAAGTAACAGAATGTCTAAAAAAAGAATCAACCTCTTTAAAATGTCAAAATTGCAGATGCTGTGTTGTTCTGGATAATAAACCAAGAGTAAAGAAATAAAGTGATTACAAAAATGTATCAAGTGCATGCCAAGTCATACAGCTTTTTACAACAACTTACTCCTTTGGAATTGCAGTGCATTTTGTCTGGACTCTAAATTTCATAAAATCAGTAATGAATTAAATATGATTTTTATTTAACATTTGAGGGATTCCACTCTAAATTTAGTGCAAGTAATCTTGATTGTCCAAGGAATTCACTGAAATCTTCTTGCCATTTTGAGTATTTATGCTTCAAACTTTTTCTCTTCATTATGGTATATGTTTGTTAGCAAACTAACAAGCACTTTTGATGTTCAAAGCAAAAAAGATGGAATGTAATGAATTAAGACAGCATCGGTTCCCATCCTACATTTATATTAAATTTCTTTTAGAATTTGGCATATGTTTTGGCACTGTTTTTCATTCTCTCTTTTCAAACTGTCTATGTATAGTTCTTCAGTCTGTAATTAATGAGCATCAAAAAGTTTATTTAATAAGAAAGTAATTCTCTGAGATCAAAGGGTAGACATAATTTGGCAACAGATATTTCTTTTCCATCAAAGACAAATATAAAATGCAAAACCAAGACATTTATTCAGCTAGACATTTATGTAGATCTGCAAACACACACAACATTTAAGTAAGAGTCAGCACTGCTGCTCTTACCTTTGATGGACTGTGGATGATATGTTCAGGAGGCCTTTGGTCTGTTTTTCTTTCAATGCCAGCTCATTCTCTTGTTTCTTCCTAAGTCTGTTTCTTTCACCTCTTTCTGCTGAAATAATGTTTTTGTAAAATCTTCTGCCCAAAATTACAAACTCTGAATTGTGGCAACCTTACAATTTATGTTTTGCATCAGCACAAATTAATCCCTGTTCTAGGTAGTCTTTCCAAAGTTACTGCTCCTTAGGGATATCAAGTACTTCTTACACACTCTTGCTCTGCCACTGTGATCTGTTGCACAGACAATAGTTTGTGCACCATTTAGATGGTAATGTCACTGAATTCCTATTCTTATTTACTTCTCCCATTAGGCTAACTGATTAACATGGAATTGAAAGCTGAAGTTTTATGAAAAGACATTGATGCCTTAAGCAAGAACTGTAATACCTGAACAAAAAAATGCAATATAAAGAAAACCTCCACTCAGAGGCCACTTAGTCCTGGGAATGCCTAACTTCACTAGACATCCCCTCGTTTGATGGCAAAGTATTCTGGGTGCTTTTGCATATGCTCACACTCTGTGAGGAACTTGGCGTTTATCTGCTGACCAGTCTCCTGACTCTTGCCCCTGAAGTCCTGCCTGGCAGAAAGGCTCGGGGCATGTCTGACAGATAGGACCGTTTTCCTTGCACCACTTCTTTTAAATAAAACACAGAAGGAGGGAGATGGACGCATACGTAACAGATTAGGGTACATAACATTCATTGGGGGAGCATCCAACCTTTTCTGAATGCTCAGAGATGCTGACAGGCACCTCTCCTAACAACGGCACCATCAGGGAGCAGTTTCTGGCTGTACTCTAGGCTGGGCTGCGCTGGCTGGGCGAGGGGAGATACCCTCCACCTTTTTTCCTGTGGCTGTGCCAGGCAGACCATAAATTCAGATTTACTAGGCCAAGGGATGCCCAAAGAAGCAAAATCCTCTAGCCTGACATTAAGCCCAGTCACTGGGAGAGAGAAGCCCGGCATTATGCTCCTTACTCCCATTTAGCTATCGCTGATTGAAGTACGTAAGAAATTTCCTATGTGGCCATTCTAACCCCAGGGTTATCACATAGTAGGTGAGTCTATTGCCAACAATGTTCTTTCTGTCTTGTGTTTCAGAGAGAGAAGTTATGAGAGTACTTGGTGAGGAGGATCACACTCTCAGTGTGGTAATCATGCCTGGAGATCACCTAACAAATCAGCCCGTTCTGAAAAGGAAGAAACATGGGTGTTCTGCCTCCTGGCTGAGCTTGGATGGAAAGTAGTTGGCTGGCTAGCAGGGCTTAGGGTGTCCTGGCTGTGCCCTAGAGCAGAGCTTCAGGCTGTTAAGAATCACAGCGAGAAATTTAAGTGCTTCTGGGGCCAATACAGCAGCTGAAATGAGAAGGGAGTGGGGTTCTGCATCACAAATTTGGACTTTGGTTAAAGAAAGTCTTAGGTGTACTAAAGCATCAAAGTTCCTTATTAGATGGTAGTGCTCACTCCTAATGTAAAAAGCACCAACAAAGCTGAAGTAGTTATCTGTTGATACTGAAAATCTCAGCCGGGCTGCAGCCTGCACATGTAGGTTTGCAATATTTTTTCACTGTAGCAATTAATTTGATCTGTGAATTTCAGCTGGGTTTCTCTATGGCCACCCAAATCTAAAACACTCCTGCTTTTATTACCAACATAAATACTCTCATCCTCCCTCATGCCTGTAGGCTTACATTGCAGCAGCAGGATTTTCTTTTTCTTCAGCTGAAAAGAAAACGTGCTCCGATTACACATGTAATTTTCTTCCTTGTAGTTCATGGAACACCAATACACTGAAACAATAATATATCCACACAAACTCTGGGAGAAAAAATAATCTAAATGAGCAATTACCAGGAGGCTGACTGTGGTTCTAGTGACTGGTATGCTAGGTCTCACAACCTAATTGGGAGGAGACCAGTTGAGAGCAATATCAAAACACTGATGAAGCAGAACATTCAAGTGTGTAATGACATCCATCTCAGCTCAGATCACAGGAGCGTTCTGGAACAGGCTTAATTTTTAAATCCTGCTTAAAGGAACTCAAATCAAAGGAATTTTAGACTCTGTAGTTGGCTGAATCAGGGCCAAAGAAGTCTTTAGAGGGACTTCGTGAGAACTTAAGTAACTGACTGCCTTGCTAGCTGCCAATGTCTAAAATACAGATTGTCAAAAATCCGCGCACAGATTTTGCCTAACCCTAGCTTCCAATATTAAGGTCCTCAACATTCACAACAGGGCAGTACAGAACAGATTAGTTCTGTCTCATAACCAGTGAGCATATCTAGCTCCTACTGGGGCTCACAAATCCTTCCTACCAACTCATCTCTGGATCTCAGCCTTGAGTGGATACGCCTGTTCCTCTTCAAAAACTCTCTTCTGTGGTTAAAGAATCATTTCTATTTAAAATCACTAACTGTATTTTTAGAAAAAAAATCCATTCCATGTGTCTCAAAGACTTAGCCTCTGATGATACTGCCATTTTGCTAACTTGCTAACTTCATTTAATGCCAACAGCCTTCACCCAGGGGAGGGGAGGGTGTTTACAAAAGAAATCAATAATCACAGTTTGCTTTTGGTCCCCTGTCCTGAAGGAACTGAGCAATTAAAAATAATTTCAGGAGAAACTGCTTGTATTTATGTGAGATCCAGCAGTTCATAAACCTCTACAGCAGTTTCACAACCTGTGAGAGGGTCATGGTTGACAGCTAAGAAACAATGCAGTGTTCCAGGATGGGCATGCTTGGCTTTTTGGTGTCTCCTCTAATGCTTTTCCTCAACTTCAGAGACAACAACATTTCACTGAGCCAAAAAGAGGAATGAATATAAGAATCTACTCCCCAAATCTGAGGGCAGCCACCTCAGAGGAAGCAGACTGTCTGCCAATGATGTTTATGTTTTCTAACATGGAGGCAGGGATTGCAAACCCAGATCTCCTCCCTTCTAGGGAAAAGATTCAGCTTGTAGGTGCCTGTCATATACCCTCTCTCCTTCCCTATGAATATTTGATTAATTGATTAATTTTATTTGCATATTTTAATATGCAAAGTTGAACAGCGTTTATGGTAGACGTTGGCTGTACAACCTAATACTTGTACAACTCTTTGCTTTCTAAATTCTTCTGCCTTGTGTTGAGGTTTAGAGTACCAGAAAATCAACTGCTGGTGGTTGTGACTACGGTGGTATCTCTGGTCTTAGCTTGGTGAAAGAAAGTTCATGGTTAAACTATAATCTCCAACACCGGGTCATCGTTCTGTGTCTGTCTGTACCAAACTTCGAGTAACAGGGTCCTGCATTTACGACTGTAATTCAAGTAATTATTAATAATAACAGTTCTACCACTTCTCCTTCAAAAATGGAAATGGAACTACACATTCATTTTGCTTTGTTGCTACTTTAAATAACAGATTTCTGTTATCTTTAAAAGCAATCTTTACAGTAATAAGAAAATTAATTTATCTGTTAAAAAACCAGAATTATCTTATAGTTGTCAATATCATACGTACCTTGTAAGGATTTCAATTGTTGAAGCTTTTTCCCTTCATAGCCTTCTGTGATTTTTCCTATCTGCTGATAGTAATTTTGCACCAGTCTATTGATATTATTGCTGGTCCCATACACACTTTCTACAGCGGCTTCCACCAATCTCTCCTATATTACACAGTACAAGTCACAATTAATTTTCTAAGTCAAAAACTGAAGTGTTTTCATCTGTCTAAAACTGAAGATCCAATCTAATTTTGTACGTGAACACAAAATTGTGGATTTTGTGCTTTAAAAATGTGTCAGACTGAGACACTGGAAAACAGGTATTTCTATTCATCCACGGAACATTTCAACACGAAAAATTACAGTAAAATCTTTCTGATGTGCCTCACCTCCATCTGGGAAGGGGCCATTCCCCTATCTGTTCAATCTCTATAGCCCATTTTACCCGTCAATCCGATTGCCAGCAAAGTAAATCAATATATGTGTAGCTCCACTACAACTTTCCACTATACAGAAAATCCAAATATTTACTTTGGAACAATTTTATTAACCTATGAAGCAAGTTTTATTTTAATTTAATTATTTATCTATGAATTAATATTAAGCTGTTAATATACAAATACTAGTCATTAACCATAAAACCTTCATCAGTAGATAACCATCTCCGTTTTTTCCTCATTTTTTATATTCTCTGTCATCAAGAACTATCTCAATCTTTTTTACATTCCAGGGTTTGGCTTAATAAAACCTGCTTTGGCTGCTACAGCAAGTCAGTAGAAAATACTGTACTTCTACGTAAGTGTTAGTTTGTAAATACTTTGCAAGGTATCTTCAGTTTTAAAACAGAT